GGGAGGAAAGCAGGTGGGCATTCTTCAGCACGAGCTCAGGGTTATAAGGTGGTTACGGAAAGTCCGAGAGTTACGAAATTTTCCTGGATTTCCTTAGCAAGACGTTCCAAAACTCGAGAAGGGCCTGTTGGACGAGGTTGGAACTTCTAGCAGTAAGAACTCCCAAAGCGTTTGAGCTGGACTATCGCCGCTTGTTTATTTGTTAGCACACTGTACCACTCCTCATCTTCGGCAAATGTGATGGATGGTCAATCGAGAATCCATAGTAAGTCGACTTGAACATGCTGGTGTCAGATCGTGTTTATAGCTGATTAGGGCTATTTTGGGATCTCTACAAGTTTTTGAAGATCCCATGTTCGGTCTTCTTGAAACCTGGGCATGTTGAGAATATTGCTTGTTTTTCTTCTGCCATACAGGTTGTTACGATGGAACTATTCGGTCGACGTTTCGAACAACTCGTCGTCTTCAGGACCTGAAGTCGGTTGGAAGTTTTAGCTTGTAATTTACCCGGTCAAGCCCCACAGTACTACTCTACTACTCAAGAGTAACAAATATAGGTAAGATTCCAACTAAGGAAACCAACCTTTGCAGTTCCACCAGCGCCACTCCACCCAAGTCTTCAATAGATGCGGAAAAATGAGACACACATGACAGTGAAGCGTCATACGTGCCATATGTGAATATCTCACAATCCACATAAAGGAATGAAAGGCAGGAATTCATTTGTAATGGCAATGCATTCATTCCGGTTATTTAACTTTGGATTCGAGCGCGGATATAGAACGCTTCCAACATCTTTCTAGCACCGATGTCATCCTCGCGGGCAAGGATTCTGCACTCAATATTAAAATCATTGCCCTGGTGATCTTGAGTAGTAGAGTAGTACTGTGGGGCTGGACCGGGTAAATTACAAGCTAAAACTTCCAACCGACTTCAGGTCCTGAAGACGACGAGTTGTTCGAAACGTCGAATATTAAATAGTTCCATCGTAACAACCTGTATGGCAGAAGAAAAACAAGCAATATT